ACTGCCCTTGAGTCCTGCATGGCACCCTGCCATAGGACATCCTCCTAGCGCCTGCGGCAGGTTCTCCACCCTGCTGCTGCTGTCCCTGCAGCTAGCCCCCACCTCACCCCATCACCTATTGACCTCCAGGCTACTTGCCTGGAGACAGGACCTGTCATAGGTCAAGGCTCACTGTTTGTCCAGGCTCCTCAGTACCCTTTCTGCTAGTCAGAGACACAGAGCCCTTGTCCCTGCTGAGGAGGAGCAACCTCTGTGGACAGATTGCCACTCAGTGCTGCTCTACAGGGGTGGGGTATTAGGCCCCCAGTGAGCGCTCTCCTGGGAGGGCATACTCATGCTGGGTTAGGAGATGAGGTTTCCTCACATACCATTTCATTATCAAATCTTTCTTAAATTCCTGCACGCCTCCCTCAACCTCAGGAATAGGAAAACCACCTAGACCTCCAAGGCGTTCACAGTGTAGCAGAGGAAACTGACATATAAAGAGACAGTTTTGGAACTGTGGAGTCTGTGCAGTAGCAAAGGTGGATGTAGGGGGTTGTGGGCACTCTGGGGAGATGGATTCACTCTGCTGTGGGGCAAGGAAGGCCTTGAAGGAGTAGAGTTTGCCCAATGGACCAGAGAAGGCTTGTTTTCTAGATGGAGGGCATAGCTTGTGCAAAGGCATCCAGGTTTGAAAGAACTTGTTTGGGGAACAATGGGTAATTCAGTACATGGAACATAAAATGCATGTGTGGGGGAAGAGGCAAGGGCCAGGAATGCAGAGGTTGGCCAGGTCCGGTGGGTGAATGTTGAGCTGAGGAACTTGGCCAGTGAGGTCTCTTGAGCAGGGCATGGTATGACCAGAGGTGGATCAGTCTTGGGACATAGTCTACCCTTTGGGAGACCCAGATGGTCAAGCCAGCCCTGGACCCATCAGCTGTATTCAGCAGGAAATGGGGCTGTTGTCAGCACATAAGAATCCAAGGCAGAAAGAGAACTCTCAGAAAGATCTGACCTGAGGGATGTTAAGTCTGCTGGAGCCGGATGTCCCCCAGGTCCAGGCCTGGCCAGAGTGAAGGTAGTTGGAGGTGCTGGCTCAGACATGGTAGTGTGGGCCACACCCTCCAAAGCTCAAGGCACCCTTGATGTTAATCATAGCCCCACAGCCCAACCATCGGGAGCAGAACTGAGCCAGGGCCCTTTTCTGTTGTTCCAGACCGCCCAGCCATTCCCTGGCTGTGGCTTCCAGGGATCAGTTGCATGTGGCCTGTCCTACTCCTAACCAGGATTTATCCACTCCTGAGCAAGGTTGGTACTCATGAGCCCAGAGCTGTGCCTGGGCTCCAGAGGCAGGGAGGCATCCTGACTGTAAGCCCTGAGCCCCTCAAGGGTGAATGGGTCTTGGTTCTTTCTCTACATGGCATCTCTTTGTTCTGATGATCTCAGCGGTTTCCCAGAGTGCAGGATGTCCCAAGCTTATTGTGTTTCTGAGATAAGGGGGATGGATGAAAGCAGGGATAAACCAGTGGGCCCAGCCGGAAGTGCCTGCAGACCTCTGAGCCAGCTTCTCGGGAAGCAGACATGGTTGGGTCAGCATCACTCCCGTGTCCTTCCCCAACCCTGGCTAAGACAGGGAGACCTGGCCCAGCCCTAAGGGACCAGTGTCTGGTGGGGGTGACAGAATACTATACTTCTTCAAGGCCTGAGACCAAGGCTCTAGTCCTTAATCCTCAGCTAATTTACTGTGTGACTCAGGCAACGTCACTTCATCTCCCTGGACCTGAATGTGTTTCCCTGTAGTATGGGTAGGGGTGAGAAGGAAGAATGCCTGCTTTGTAAGCACTTGTGCTCTGGTGGTGTACCAGCCACCCCTTGGAAGGAAGATGGAGCAATCTACTTCTGTAAAGATTTACAGCCTCAGAAACTCCATGGGGGGCGCTATGAGTGAAAATCACTCCATGGCAGTGAGTTTTGGTTTTTTAGTTCTGTGAAGATTAAATGAGGTGAGGGTTCTAAGATAGGAGCTCTGGTAGTGTAGTGCTTAAGGCATTGACTGCTTACCAGAAGTCTGGCAGTTCAAACCCACCAGCCACTCCTTGGAAGGAAGACTAGGCAATCTACTTACATAGTGATACTGCCTCAGAAAGCCAAGGAGGGTTCTAAGATACAATACCAAAATCAAAACCAAACCCACTGCCATCATGTCAGTTCCAACTTAGAGTGACCCCATTGGGTTTCTGAGGCAGTAAATCTTTAGGGTAGTAAATTGCCCCATCTTCCTTCCGAGGAGTGGCTGGTAGGTTTGAACTGCCAACCTTCTGGTTAGCAGTCAAATGCCTTAAGCACCAGACCATCAGAACTCCTTTAAGATACAATAATTAGTCTCAATTCACCTACAGCAACAGAGGGAAAAGGACAGTCAGGAATAGGAGGAAGAAATGGGATGGGTGACTAATTGCTTTCATGAACAAATGCCTCCTTTACCATGAGACCAGAAGAACTGAATGGTGCCTGGCTAACATTATTAAACATTTTAATCAAGAGTTCTATAGACTAGATGGTGCCCAGCTACCACTGCCATCTACTTGGAAGGGAAAGAGGGAGAACAATGTGGAACAAAACTCAAAATCATTTTGAGGCAAAAAAAAAAAAAAAGAAGGTGGGGACCAGGTTTGCTGGTCCAATAGAGCCTGGTGTAACCACTGAGACTATGGCCCCTAGCTGCCCTTCAGGTCTGGAATTGAACCCACAACTGTGGTTTCCAGCCAAACAAAGTACAGGCATGTGAGTTAAACATTTACCTCAAGTAGACACACGCCCTAGAGAGAACAATCATGGGAGAAGGAAGGGCTGCTTGTGCACAGGGAGATAGCGCAGGGTGCAGAAGAGTATGAAGGGATGGACACTGGGAGGAGGTAACTATGGGGAGGAAGTGGGAGGGGAGCTGCTGCATTGTAAATTTTGGTCAATGACATGAGACAAAGTGTATGTGAACTGCTGTATGAAAAGTGAATTTACTCTGTAAATCTTCACCCAAATCCTAATTAAAAAAAAAAAAAGTTCTATAGAAAAATCCTGATCAAACAAGCCATCCTGAGGGAGTGAGTAGTTGGACCTGTGGGCTCCGGACCATGGTCACAGGGAACATCAAGCTTAATTGGCATAACATACTACACAAAAACTTTGTTCTATGTCCTACTTTGGTGAGTAGTGACTGGGATCTTAAAAGCTTGCAAGTGGTCATCTAGACAACAATGGGTCTCTCCTCCTCCAGAGCAAAGAAGAATGAAGTAAACAAAGACACATGGAAACAATTAGTACAAGGGACTAGTAGACCATGCAGTCCTCAGCCTATATGGCCATGAGACCAGAAGAACTAGATGGTGACTGTAACTGTCAACCACTTGGAAAGGGATCAGTGCAGGAGATCCTGGATAGAGTAGGGGAACAATGTGAAACAAAACTCAAAATCATTGAAAACAGACAAACAAACAAAAAGATCAGGTTTACTGGTCTGATAGTGCCTGGTGAGACCTCCGAGACTATGGCCCCTAATTACCCTTCAGGTCTGGAACTGAACTCATTCCATTCCCATGGCGTCCAGCCAAACAACAAACAGACATATAGGGTGAACATTTACATCAGGTAGATGTATCTTAGAGCAATCAATTGTAGGAGAGCAGAAGGATAGTGTTTACACCGGAAGATAGCTCGGCGGGCAGGAGTGCATGAGAGGGAAGGACACAAGGAAGACTACAGGGAGGAAATGGGAAGAGAGCTGTTACATTGTGGGGAATTGCGATCAATGTCATGAAACAAAATGTGTATGAACTGTTGTATGGAAAATGAATTTGCTCTGTAAACTTTCACCCAAATCACAATAAAAATTGAAAAAAGAAAAAGAAAAATTCTGATCAAAAGAGTGTAAAATATAGAACAGATTTTCATGGAATCTAGACTTTCTGGAGCCATTGTGGTTATATGACCTGTGAAACTATTGTCCTGAGATCATCTTTAAACTTTAAACTGAAACTATCCCCTGAAGTCATCTTGAAACCAAACAATAATTTAGCTTTATTAGTAAAGAATATCTGCCTTGAGAATTGTTCTCTTTTGAAGAATTATCTTTATGTGATCAAATTGACAACAGCAACTCAAAAGGTTAGATGAGAAGCTTAGGGAAAAGTGAGTTTATATTAATGGGGATGGGATAATTTGGAAAAAATCAGCATAGTGCCTAAGGCACTTGACTGCTGACCAGAAGGCTGGCAGTTCAAACCCACCAGCCACTCCTCAGAAGGAAGGTTGGGCAATCTATTTCCGTAGTGAT